TTTTCTATTTTTGTTATTTTATTTTATTTTACACATTTTGTAAAGGCATATCACCAACAGTTTCTAATGCTGTATTACTTCCAAATTCGAAATCCTGGATAATTTTCTATTAATTCATAAATTAAGGCCTGAACTTAACAGAACTAGTTTACAAGTTGACTTATTGTTAAAAATTTGGTCATTCATTTTTTAAGTCTGCTTTTGAGAAAATATTCCATTTTTAAAATTGTTTTCTCAACAGTTATGTTATTTCCTAGCAAAGACCTTTCTTTATATGATTTTCCTTTTTATTGAAATATCTTCTATTTCATATATAGCTATTTTTTTAGTTATAACAAATTTGGTTTGTTTTGAATTTCGTGCAAAGCTACATGAGGGCTATTTGTGCTACCATCCCTAATTTAGCAGTGAAAGATTAAAAGGAAGGCAGCTAGTCACCATCACCCAACTCCAACTCTTGGGCTATTTTTTTACCAACAAATAGTGGGATTTACCATCACATTATAATGCCCTCACAGCTGAAAGGGCAAGCTTGTTTGGTGGGACAGTTATAGCAGAAACTAAATGTTTGTTTTCATTAACAGTTACTTACAGACGTTCCATTTCTATTAAGCTATACCTTTTTAGATCTTATTTCTTTATTAACTTAGACTTTTCCTTCAGTAACAAGATAACTTCTAACTTAGATATCTCATCTTCATCTGAAATTTTGTTTTTTTAACTGGAGAAAGAGCCCCAAGTATTTCTACATTTTCTTGTCTTATTACCAGCTTTTTAATCCTTTCATTTGTTCTCTCTGATACCAATTTAAAATTAAGGCTTAATTTTTCCTGCTTCATATTTTACTTATTCTCTACAGTATCTGTACGAATCAACCAATTCTTAACACTGATCTGCTTTCAATAATTTAATCAAAAATAAAACTTCTTTTATCTGAGAGTTATATATTCTAGATCAGTGATTCCTCACTTTTTTTGCTATCTTTTGCTCCAAGGATTGGCAATATTTTATTAAATAGCTTACAGTCTATTAGAAGTACATGGGCCAATAATGTTGTTTCATAATTTAGCTTTTTCAAAAACTTTCAAGTGAAAGTTATAAGGATCACTTATTTTACAATGAGCTAAGAATGAAACAATTTACACCTGGCCATAACACATGTACGTACATATATCAAATTTCACAAAAATCTAATATTTCATAATACTTTTTTCTTCTTTTTCACCATGAACATGCAGCTGAAAACCACTATCTTAGATATTTTGTTGTCAGAAAACTTGCACTATATCTTTTTTGTTTCATTTTTTTGATAAATCTTGAACACAAACGGTGTAGATCAAAGGCTGCTTGTTTATAACCACACAACAAGACTCATCTACAAATTATTTTCAAAACACTTTTCTGTGCCATCTTTAAATATTACATATCAAGCTGGAATAGATCTTTCCAGGGAAAGTATCATATCCAGTCAGTCAAGAAAGTAACTGTGATAAAACAACAAAGTAAGGAACTTAAATATTTGTTATACACAATTCAAAACCCATGAGCAATTAAAAGAAAGTATCACCACAATATTATGATTACTTGTCTGGAAAGTATTTTTTTTAAATATATTTATTTATACAAAATGCTTAGGACAGTCTTTAAAATAGGTTACACAAGTGTTTTTCTTTATATGTTATATTTGAACTCATTATTACAATATTAAGCATAAGAAATTAATTCTGAACATAATACATTGAACAATCAGTATTTACTGGGACTTCCTCTAGACTTAAAAGATCAAATTGATCAAACATTAATGTTACCAGTTCTTAGAAACAAATTAGTTCCTTCTATTTTTTGTTGCACATTTTCCCACAACTGTCAGATTTAACAGGTGACTTCATTTTGCAATGTTACTTTTCAACTAATGTACAATTAGATTAGCATCGGAACCGTAAGTTGGCCATTTTATAACATTTACATCGGCAGCTTATTTCTTATCTTTCAAATACTCTTATTTAGTAGGAGTGGATGTTTTGAATAATTTTGTTGAAACTCAACGAGGGTGCTGTGTGATGTCATGATGCTGCTCTTTCTTCCTAACACCATCAGTTTTGTTATTAATTCTCATTCCAACTGTGGAAAAACATTCACATTCCTTTATTAACCCACCACAATATTACACTGTCTTTTATTTACACTACTGGTTAAGTTTCTCTTAACCTTGTATTAGCAACAAAACTCTACTTAAACTTTCAGAAAACTCAAAACTTTGTTTACATAGCACTTGTTATTTTGATTTTTGCGATCCTTTGAAAAAGTTTCAAATTTTGATCATTCTTAAAGATGAAATATTAAGCTTTGTGGCTGCCATATTTTCATGCAGACAACTTTCTTGCAACCATCATTGATATGCTCAATTGCTGATTCTAACTTCATGCACATCAAGTAGTTCTACCTTTATATTATAAATAACATCATGCTGAAATAAAATAACCAAATAATGATATCTTTCTATGTGGTTGTTTTTCTATAATTAGACTTTAAAATCTTAGTTGTAATAAAATGCTCTAATGTCTTTCAAAACTACCTTTAGAAACACTTAGATTTAAAGTTCTGAGCATTATTCCTTTCAGTTTTCTTTTTATTGTGTTTGTTTTTTAGCACAAAGATACAAAATATGCTTTCTGCACTCTGTCCACTGCTAGAGTCAAACCCCAGATTTTAGCATCATAAATCTGTAAACTTACCACTTAGTCATGAGACTTTTATTCAGAACTTGCTAATTCTCAAATTGATGTTGATGCTTAAATATGAATTCATTGCAACAATAAAACTAAAAAATATGGGTTTGTTAGTGGTTTCAAATTGGTGTGAAAAATAAATGGATCAAGCTCACTCATCCACATGAATTAATGTGCAATTAGGTCATGTAATTTACAAAACGAATAATTTATTTTATTGTAAAGTTTTCTCAAGTTAGAAGGTTTTTAAAGCAAAATTTGTCTTGTTTTATTGTTGTTAAATTCAGACTTATGACCTGTACTTTATGTTAACCATCTCGCATTGTCTGTTTTATATCTGCCTGTTATAAACCAAAGTAATGAATTCTAACCAACAAGTAAATATTTGAATAAACTTCACTACTACTACATTGATGAGCCTTAAGATTAACAATTGTCTTTTATAATAACAATCTAAGTTGTCACTACTTATGTATGAGTGAATGATCTTTTTAAAAACTACTTAAGACATTTTTAAGTGAATGCAATATAAAATCAAAGTAAAGGGATTACTTAGTTTTCACAAGTAAATAACAGTATTTATGTTTGTTTTTCATTGCTCTAGAAGTTGAATACATTATGAAGTTTTTGAGGCATTTATGATTTCTGAAACTATGATTTCAACTAAATTTAGAATAATTACTCATTATTATAAAAAAAATAAAAAATAATATTCATAAGACAAAACATTACGAAAGAAAACAATAATGGGAAAATTCACAAAACATTATCAGAATATAGTATTCAAATTTCATTTAAAATAAATCAAATTAGCTGATTTAAAAGAAAATGTGTGCAGAAAGAAAGACTGTGTGATAGTCTTATGGAACTTATAAAATATTATATTCCAAATTATATCAAAGTTTGAATCATCAACTACAAAATAATCTTTTTTTTAACTTTTGCCTGAAATAAAAAAATGTTAAATGTTTTCTACAGAAAAGAATTTCTAAACTCATGCCTTCTAAGCCATTAGCAGAAATTAAACAAATTATCGTTAACAATAATAAAAAGTAACCATGTAAAAATAACTAATAAAATGTGATTAAAAAACATGCATAAATATGTTTTCAAAAGAAAGCAAATCTTTCATCAATAGATAAAACAGTGTCACTCACCCTGCACCTCAGGTTCCATTTCATCTTTAATTACAAAAGTGCTCTGTGTTTTTTTCTGAATAACATGTCGAACTGCTCCCGACTCATCTGTTTCTGTCCATTCTAACAATATCATTCACAGAGGCAAATTTTGCAAGTTTAATTCCATATAATTAGAAAACAATTTATGCCACTGATTTAAAAATTATGATGTATACATAATTTTGGTACCACCTACATGAGTTAAAAAAAAAGTGGATAACAAATTCATGTGATGATAAAATTAATATCTTTTTTATTTTCTAAACTACTCTGGATGTTATTTTAAGATTATTTACCAAATCAGTTCATGAAGTTTTTCAAATATTTCATATTAAGTAAGCAACTGCTTCAATCTTGTAAAGTAAGAAAAAAATCCATAAAAAACAACCTTCAAATCAAAGGAATGTTTTACAAGTATCAACAGTGTTCAACAGATGTACATATATTACAGATGATAAACCACAAGAGGCATTTATAATGATTTATAGTAGAGTGTTGTAAGATAAGTTCAATCCTGGCTCCTGCTACAAATATGAAGCTCTCTAAATTCACTTGAAGATGGCAGCAGATTAGCAACCAAAACATAAAGAAAAGTTAAATAGTAATTAACAAACTACAGTAGGATATCTCAAAGAATTTGACATGGGGAATCAAATAATCTTATTATTGTTCAGTCTGCCAATGTGTTTAATTTAAGATTCTGTTAAGAAACTAAGTGTGTTTGTATGTTTGTTATAGCAAAGCCACCTCGGGCTATCTGCTGTGTCCACTGAGGGGAATTGAACCCCTGTTTTTGGTATTCTAAATCTGAAGACTTGCTGCTGTACCACCAGAGGACTCTAAGGAACTACAAACTGCTGGAGATTACCTACCTTTCTCTTCAGTGTGTGAGTCTACTTCAGGTTTTTTCCCTTCAAGTTCTGGCCCTAAGGTGATATCAGTAGAAATGGTAGTTGTTTCTGGTTGTTTTTCATCTGGCAAACTTGAAAAGACAAGATGACTACTGTCTGTTTTAGTTGAGGGACACTGTTTTGAATCTGCTATCTTAGCACTCACTTCTGGAGGTAGCTGATCTAAGTCTTTAAAAATAAACACATATTATTAGTATTGTACATCTTAGTAAATCAAACAGTAATTCTAATAGTGAACACATAATATGAACTGTATTCAAAAAGCTGCAAAAAAACATACCAAAGAAATATATATATATATACATTTTAATTTGTATCATTAACTAAATGGTTAATTTTGGTTATACTTATGGATGGTGAATACTCTGACTATAAATACATGCAAGTTGGTATTAAAAAAAAGTTTTCTGTTCCTTTAAAAAAGGTGAATTTATTTCTTAAAAATTATTAAAAAATATACTTTTTATTTATTGCATATATGTATATATATATACACACACACACACACACATATACATGTCATTGAAATATAAGAACACTTGCAAGATATGAACAAACAGAAGTTATTGTTAGAATGATTTATACACATTCTATCGTCAGTAATTTACAGAAACAAGAACAAATCAAATTACAGTAACAAATATACAGATCTAAATATAAATAATAAAAATCAAATCAGAACAATTATGAATCATATGCAGATTTTATTTTGTTGAAAGAGAGAAGGAATTTTTTAATTACTAAGGTTTCTTTTATCAGATGTTCAGTTTCCAACATAGCATTAGTAAGAATTTTAAAGTTTGATATACTAATCAAATCCAAATACTGAGATGCAGGAGGTAACCTGTGTGTCACAAGGACTACTGGTTAACCAAATGCTGGGCTCATCTAGGTAACAACCTAGACTATGACAATCAAAAGAAGCAATAAAAAAAAAGAATGAGGAGAGGCCAGAACCAGAGTAATGGTCAATTGACAGGATTCATGGGAGAAACGAGAGGAGTGGACCAATATCATAAGAAACAGAACCACAGAAGAACACAGAGAAAGAAGGCATTCTTCTCGGCAACAGATAATATTATGAATATGAAGCTACAGGTAGCTTATGGGAACCCTTTTTAACTAGGATGTTGCAAAGCTACTTGTAATTACTCTGAAGCTATTGTCATGGAATTATTATATGAAATCTCAATGAGGTAAAAGCAATTAAGCCAAGTTGTCTGTTCTGAAATGTTTTATGTAGCTAGTATGATACTGTATGAATAATAATCTTTATAGGAAATAAAGAAGAAACATATTTTCATAATAAACTAAAATGCCTCTTCTTTTCAGATGAGTGACAACTGCATTGTTTGGAATGTACCACAATACCTGGCAGAATAAAATACCTGTCTCTGATTGGCTGGGAGGTCATAAATTCAAAATCTAATTCCAGTCACTGCAATGATCTTGTGATGACACAGCATCAACATTTTGCTTCCTTGTGTCTTTTATGCATAAAAATAAACCACATTACACAGCAAAATTATACAGTCTTTATTCATTTTGCTCTGAACATGAAAGTAGCATCAGAAACTGGATTAACCCTTTACATATGGGTCTGAACATGTCACAATGGTTTTACAGTTTCACAGAGTATCTCAATAAAATTACCACCACAGCATAGTTTACAATTCAAATTTTTATATCATCCAAGTTTTAATATCTTAATTTCATGAAAAACTATCAAAAGAAATTCTCAATGTTCACTTCCCTGTATTTGTTGATATGTCTGCATTTGAATTCTTCTCTTACAGTTTGTATAACTTAATCAGTAATGTACCTACACTAAGTTATGTAGATACACTCTATAAATAATTCCAAGCTTCTTGTTTTAGTGAGATAACCATAAATTTTCCAAACCCATGACAGAAGCTCTGCCTATCTATCCTTAACTTTCAAGGAAGTTTTAAAAACATGTCATCTTATTTGACATACATGTTTATAACCAACAGAAATAGCATATTTTCAGTATCAAGACAACAATGGTACTTTTGAAATTGGCACCAACAGCTGTAAGACTAGAGGAATTTATTGTGTGATGTGTTGGTGAGCAAAGTTGAAACTTGTAGCATTTAATGATTTGTTTAATCTATTTACAGCTACGTTAAAAAGACAATTAAATTATAGGATTCTATTTTAGTGATATATGTATTATTTGTAGTTTAAATGTTTGAAAGGTGCATGATTTTTATCATTTTGTGAAAGAAGGTAAAAGAAAATTTGTTAGGGCTTAGCTCACTAGGTGAGAAGTGCATGGCTTCACAGACACAGCAGCTGAGTATATGGTAATCTGCTTATGCCTTCCAACTGTGAAGTGTTGTTTTTTAGGTAAGAATAAACTGCTAAGCAATAAACTATAAAATTAAAAATAAATTATATGTGAAAAGGTAAACAGTTAAACTGTGAATAACATCAACTCAAAATGTGGCAACAAATTATGTATTGAAAGAAAAAGAAAAAGGTATGTTCATTTTATTTCATAATTTTCAAAATTTCATATTACTGTATAGTGATGATCCAGCTACATTTAGTGTCAGGATAGACAAAATAACAGATGCAAAACAATTTTTAATATTCATTTAGGAGGTTCTAGAGGCTATGCAAATGAAATATATTTTTATTCTTAGCATGAAAAAACCACCTTGCACTCAATAAAGGTTTTTCTAATTCAGACAAATTTTTACTATAAATACTATGTTTTTTTAGTACAACAGACTTCTAATATTTACCAAACCTTGCTAAATTTCATGAAGATACACTTAGTAAATTAATTTCTAGTACGTGAAGTGTCATGATTTTCAAGGTCACGTGAAATGACAGACCTACGAAAAGAGGGCTCAAAATAACAGTGTTTTGATGCTGTTACTTCTCTGTTTTAAGCAAAGTGCCAGCTATTGTCAAGCCCTACTTTAAGTAATATATGGTGGGGGTTCATTACAGTAGGCACTTGTGGAGCCATGCTCATTCCTAGGTGTGGACATAGGTGGTGGTATAATAGGTATGGAAGATCAGAACTCAGTGCATTTTCCAGTACTTGTAGTGGAAGATATTCAAGAGACCAGTAATAACCAATGACTGGACATTCTCCTGGGGCTAAGACACCCTTTGTTCACTCTTGAAATGGCTCACCTAGTTAGTAGGTACCCAGGTACAATAAAAAAGATCTAGGTAAATCTGAGGATGTGCTCAACAAATCTCAGACAGTGCAACATAACTACCAAATAAGGTAGGAAAATAAAAATGTAAGATGTTTCCAATCCTAGTTGGAGCTGAGATGTGGTGAATGGGCATCTTATCTCTAATATCTTGAAAGCCAGGCAAAGACATGCTCATAAATGTGGGAAAGGCATCTATCTGCCAAGGCATCATCAATCACTAGATGGCATCCTTGTGTCCACTTCAAGAGAGCATCACCCTCTCATGAAGCACCAGTGGAGAGGATGAAGTTTGTTGAGGACGAATACAGAGGTACATGTAACATATGAGAATCTTGACAGGACAAATACAGAGGTACATGTAACACATGAGAATCTTGACAGGACAAATACAGAGGTACATGTAACACATGAGAATCTTGACAGGACGAATACAGAGGTACATGTAACACATGAGAATCATGACAGGACAAATAAAGAGGTACATGTAACACATGAGAATCTTGACAGGACAAATGCAGAGGTACATGTAACACATGAGAATCATGACAGGACAAATACAGAGGTACATGTAACACATGAGAATCATGACAGGACAAATACAGAGGTACATGTAACACATGAGAATCATGACAGGACAAATACAGAGGTATGTGTAACATATGAGAATCTTGACAGGACAAATATATTCAAATACAATATTGTGTTATCATTATTAATCTTTTTCTTATCATTATGAGAAAAGAGCAGATGTTCCATAATTGAGCATTCACATGAATGTGAAACCATCACAGTCACTATGGAAATAGCCTGAACACAATGTCAACAAGGGCTGACAATACAGCCACAGGATCTCCATGCACACCAGAGGCAGACAATGTGTAAAGTCTCCAAAGAAGTTGTAAGATTTTTGATACTGGTAGAAACATTTGTAGTATAAGCTAATGATGATTTCAGAATTCATATGATCAAAGGTAACAGCAGGACTATCCACAAGAAAATCTGGCTTATGGTAAAAAAACACAGCTTATGTAAATTCTCTTGATGCCTGTGCAATATGTCACATGGTAGATGGAGAACTCTGGGTAAGTTGACATATGGTCTGTATTGCAACAAGGAGATTCAAAACCTAAAGTAACATGATTGTTGACAGTATGACAGCAAACTCAACAAAAATGATTTTTAATATTTCAGAGGTAAATCTACTGATTTGAGTTTATATTTCAACACAGGAAAGAATAAAGAATGGTAAAACAATTGCAATTGAACCAAAACTAGAATGCAGAGTAATAAAGTATTTAAAGTTCAGTTAAAAAACGAATGTAGAATAACAGAATGTTTATCTTTCAATTAAAACTAAAATGTAGCAATGTAATTGTTTACATTTCAATCTAGGCTAGGTAAGTTAAGTAATTTTCCGGTGATGAACAAATATTAAAAAATACAAGATGTATAATTTTTTAACTGAATAAACAATTCATTTGCACTGAATCTATCACTCTTAAATCATCAACTGATAAAGTAATCCTTGAATTGGCCAAGCTCTGTTAGTATGTACAATGAA